TCAAGATATTGAAGCTTAAACAATTTTTTTAATTAAATATAATTTGGATGGGCGTAGCCATGTGTATCTAGGATGATTATTAAAAAAAAACCTTTTTTTTAATTGATTAGATTTGTATTTGAATTATAAAGCTCGTCTCATTGTTATGCATTGAGATTAGAATTGTAAGTTTGACTAGGAAACCAATTCTATACAGACCCATTCACTATATTCACGTCTCCTTGTTGCAATGAAATTCAGTTGATATACTAGGTTATAAGTCCTATAAATACTCCCATGAGTCAAGAGAATTTTTCACCACGAATATATTATATATACAAGGCCAACAAAATCCAAAAGCTAGAGAGAGAATCCTACAATATCACTATATAATATATTTTATTCATACGAGATAGAGAGAGGAAAAGAATACGGTGTCACGTGCATTAATTACAATCCGTTACAACTTTTCAAATCTATCAAGGTAAGATATTTTTGTGCGAGTAGTTTGTTTTCTTATGCTTTTGTGTATTTAATTAAATATGTATGAATTGTAAGTGGACCTTCGGGTTCTGCAGAAAGAGATATGAAATCCTACTGAAATTTAAGAGGAACTAAGATGGATGTATCTCTTGGTAACCAATATATTTTATAAGAGAAGAGTGAAATGAAGTGCATAATTTATTTTTGTAAACTTGCGTATGAAAACTGCACATATTTTACTAGGTATTTTAAATACTCACTCCTATAATAAGTTTACAAGTTAAATCGGGTTGATTGGAACTATGGCAAGATGGCGATGCAAACTGTCAAGAGGATTTGAAAGAATAAAAATATTAAGTTTTTTTTTTATCTCCCAATTTATTAGTTTGTTTTTGTTCAAAGACATGTTTATTAATTAGTTAAATGATTATGTTTAAATTTTTTTCAAACTCGAATTCCACGTTTTAATTGATATTTATGGTTGAAAATAAAAGAATTATTTTTATATGTGTTGGTTCCACATTTAATGTGAAGAAAGTTGAATTTTTGAGAACACTCTAATGTTTATAAAAATCTAGAGTGTTAAACAAAAAGGAATAGAAGAAATGAGATTCAATTTGTGGCCGAGAATACAAAGAGAAATAGAGAGTGATATAGCTGTGTTAAAAGAAATGGAAAGTTAGATATTTGCATGAGAGTAGAAGCAAATCCGCCAACAAGTTTTCAATGGCCGGAGTAAAAAAATGTTTGCACGCAACCCTATGAACAGTGCCAAAATCAAGTAATTTTTTAATGTATAGTGCAATATATTTGAAAATAATTTAAATTATGATAATAAATATTATAACTCTACAAAATAATTGAAGAAGTGCAAAAATAGATAATTTAGGATTTTAATTAATGAACAAGTGTTATGGTTTACGAGTTCATCATAGTTATCCCTCTAATTTCAATTACCAAGTTTCAACAATACTCAATTATGTGTATCATGTCGAGTTCTTCTAATCAAAATTTATTTACATCTCTCGAATTTAAATCAATCTTATTCAACTAAGTTAACTCACTATATCTTTTTTAAATCATAATAAGTCTTAATTAAGAGTATACAGTCACAAAAATATTCAATTAATGACTGCAAACTTAGTGAAAATATATCTTTTACACAAAGTTCAATTTTTACTATGAGGTCTAAAATAATAACTCACCTCTCGAATCCTTCCCGCTTACAAATCAATGAAACAATACCAAATTGTTTTAAAGCATGAATAATAAAGTAAAAATAATACACAAATATTAACTTGAGATCAAAGCATAATAAATAAAATTAAGGTTCAAAACTATAATATAATATTTCATCCAAACTATTGATTTAGTTGCACATTATACGAAAAGATAACAAACGGAGCATTTGAAGTACTTCGCCGCTCTTGTAGTAAGAACACAATCTTGAAATCCTAGCTTTATCTTTTCTTCTCTCTTGTATATTCTCTCTGTTTTACTTCTGACTCTCCATTAGGGATGTCAATTTAACTCGTCGGCTCGAATGACATGTGACTCGGCCCAAAAATTTCCGAGCGGACTCAGCTCACTACTCGTCGGGGATCATTCGAACCAAGCCTCATTTTCAAGTGTTAGCCCGAGCTCAAGCCGACTTGTCACACTAACACAAGACAATCCGTGTATAGAGCCTTAAGGTAGCTTTAAAAGCAGTTGCCTTAAAAAAACGTAATTAAAATTTTGGGGAAAAAAAGAGCTGGCTCAAGTTTGGCTCGGCTTGACTCAGGCAAAAAAAGCTCGACATATTTTTACTCGAGTCATGCTCAAACCGTGAACTTCTACTCGTTTACATCCCCACTCTTTATTGTGTCCTCTTTGTTTTTATCTAGAATATATCTGTCTTTAGCGATAGGGCCATCTCAAAAGTCATGACTCAAAAAGAACCTAAAATAACCCCGAATAAAACAAAAAGAATCCAAACTTTTCATTGAGGAAAACTGTGACACAACCACGTCCAACAAGGAGCTTGGGCTCCAATCGCGCTGATTGCGGTTGATTACCATGATCGGATCATGGAATCCATTGATCACTTCTAACCTTGGTTGAGCTATGGTTTGCAAATAGCGGTCCTCCCCCCACCCACTCTCTAATTTTTACAATTTGGTACCTATTTTAAGTTTTTCATATGATTTTGGGTTTTTATACATATCTTCAATATCGGTCTCACAACTTCCAAAACCTTATACGTTGATCCCCGAACATCCATAATATCCCAAAATTATCCTCAAGTTTTGAAACTATACAAACCAGTCCTCATACTTCTGATAAATTTACTAAAAATTATAGTCTCATATCCCACATTAATATTACAATTCAACTATGCTGCTAGGAAGGAATTGACACCCTCCCTGACGTCTCCCTCACAATAGGGGGAGGGAAGCAAGTATTTTTTGGGCTTTTTTTTATTCACATGGTTCCCACTTCATGTGAGTATATGTCAACAAAGGTGACAATTTCTTTCAGGCAAAGGAGCATAATTCTTAATATTAAGATTTCGATCGATATCTCAAAAGCAAAATCTTTCTCAAGCATCATGTGAAGACAACTAAATCTACATTAGCTAAATAACAGCAATGTTTGCCTCTTACAGCTAGCTCTCTAATTTCTCCTTTCAAATATAAAAAGTAACATTATCAAACTACTAAATATAGACAGATTCTTCTAAAACAAGCTTAAATTTGCAAAACACAACACAATATTTGTTGACTTTCCCAGATTAAGATTACGAGTATAATCCAAAAACTACAAACGAAGATTACCGCAATGCTTTTATAGTCAACAGCCACATTGAGAAAATTTTCAAAAACAAAAATCCATCTGCATCAAAATAATATAACTGAGTGAGATCTCTTCAGTCAAAACCCTCATTCTTGAAAACATTTCCAGTGACAACCAAAATATCTTCATTACAAGTAATTCTCATAAGCCAATTGTCAATTTTGTAATATTTGAAAGTGCTACTTTTGCTTGGGGCAATCTCTATTAAAAGGACAATAATCGATTTTGTAATATTTGAAAGTGCTACTTTTGCTTGGGGCAATCTCTATTAAAGGGACAATAACCGGAGTTAGATATCAAGAATGTTTTCTTTGTTAATCATTTGACATGAGAACAAACTTCAAACGATATATTCCTTACAAGTGACGTGAAACTATGTGGGACAATCACCACAAAAGTGCATTGGAGATGAGAAATGGAGTAATAAATTGTACTATTGGGACAAGAAATACGTAGAATCATCTTTAACTCCTAAGATGGAAGGTTATAATCAACAAAAGACTAGGGATATCAATGCTGAACAACTACATAATGCATATCATTCTCTTCTGCAGCTAAGTCAATTCTAACTATTTCTGTATAACAACAAGAATGCAACTGCTCAAACAAGAAGCTAATAGCTCAGAGAAAATAACTTACTCATATTAAAAGATTTCTAACCACATGATTCTTTCTAAATCATCAAAGCAAACTGCAAAATAAGAAAGAAAATTACCAAGACTTTCTAACTATGTGCTAGCAATTATTAAATTAATTGACATTTAGAAAGATCGTGTACAATGAACGACTACCACACAGAAAGCCAGAGCAGTCCAAACAATAATTCTTTGTCAATTGAAAATAACGTTAAGGGGAGTGACAGTAAGATATTCAATAAACCTACATTCTTCACCCAATTGTTACAATAGAAACCTGAAAAAATGGAACCCATTTCTTGATTCCTCGACTTTCAATTCAAATTTTCCACCAGAAAAATTCAAGTTCTCATCTTTTACCTGAAATTCAAGAACTTCAGAAATTTCTTCCTGAAAAAAGACTATCAATTTGTCAATTTCAGCAAAACGGTCAAAGTGGGAACTATAGTGAGAAAAAACAGATGAATGCCTAGGCTTAACTTTGGCAAGCAACAAAGCCACACTTGAAGTTAACGTTTACCAGATTCACGTTTTCATGTGTCAAGAAACAGAATAATAAAAGCAAGTCCCTGAATTAAAAAATTTCTTTACACTCTATTCCATGAAACCAAATTCTCCAGCAGAATAAAAGCGTGTCAGACCAAAATATATGAACAAAGTCACTCATGTTTTTCTTAGCCTAATCAACATTTAGAAACAAAATACATGAAACTATAACTGATTAGCAAATATTCAAATCTACATAGCCTAGTGACAGAACAAATGAAAACTCTTCCAGGATTACCTAACCCTTGAGAACTTTCAAAACCAGCTTAGTCTCCTTAAGGTGCAGCTCAAGCTCCTGTATCATAAGTTTTCTCCATTCTGCCTCAAAGTGTTGTGCCTTATCACTTCCCATCATCGCCCAAATCTTCTTGAGCATATCCGAAGAGATGATTCCTCCAATATTCATTTGGAAAGACTGAGGCAATAATGGGTAATTTGATTCCACGTCCACGTCCACTTCATCCTCTAAGATTTCTTTTTCCACATTTTGCTCTTTTTCTTCCGAGCCCACTATTTGCTGCTTTAAAGACTTTGACCCTCATTTCCCCAAAGTTTCTCCGAAAGCTTGAAAACAGTATATTCATATGCATTAGAGAATTCCAAAGGAGCCTGTTTCTTCCTATTGAAATTTCCAAGAAACTTTTGTTTAGTTCTCCGAAGTTTTTCAGTGACTTGAAGCTTAGTAAACTCCATATGAAGCTTGTCCTTAACAAACAAATGAAACTCGGTCTTACTTTCATCCCCATGCTCAGACTTAAAATCTATTTGACCTTGAAGCAACGTAATAACGTCCTCGTCAGTGAATATCTGACCGAAGAAAAAAGGGGACTTCTTCTCAATCAATTCATTTTGTTGGAGACTTTCAACATCAGAAGAAGAGCCATTTTGTTGTTTTGAAGCAGCTTCTTGGGTCGTCTTTCCTTCCTCTTTGCTTTTCGAGTGGGAACTGGAGCCCTCCTCAACAGATTCTTTGCTATCTCTCTGAGAAATTTCAGCTTCTTCATCATTTGAAAACATTAGTACCGATTTTTTCAAGCATATCTTTTGATTTCCTTCTTCTCTTTTGCGATTTGGGCTCCATTGATGATAGCAGACCTTTACTCTGAGAATTTCACGTTTTTTCTTTTATTAATCAAACATCTTGTGAATTTTTATTAAAATCTCAGTATTTAATTTTAATCGCGGGTTTTTGACCCTTGTTTGAACCACGTTGTTTTTAAAAAAAAAAATATTTTTAAATAGTGTATTAATGAAATTTTTGTGGTTAAAAAGTAAATAAAAAAATTGAATTTGAGTGTAATATTATTTTATTGAAAAATGTGTGATTGAAATGATGTGACACCACTGTTTAAGAATATATATATATTTTTCAAATAATGTTGATTAGACGGTGCCTGATTTATAAAGTTTTCGTATTCAATTATTCATATTTGGTGAAAATTCTCGATCATTTATATTTTTGAATTTATTTTCAACTACGATTTTTTTAATAATAAAATTTGCACATTTTCCATAACTTTTTCTTTCCCACTTTTTAGTCACATTCTTAAAAATAATAAAAATAATAATAATAAAATTTTTACTTATGTTCTTGACTTGATTGATAAAATATTTCATTATTAGTTCTTGTTCGGTATGGACATACGTGTTTGGGTACTCATGTTTTATATTTTGTTTTTGTTTATTTATTAACAAAGACACTCTTTTAAGCCTATATGCGATCCTCATTCTTTAAAAATTCATTTTTCTTGTAATCATATTCTCCCTATAAAATAATTTTACGTATAAATCTTAAACATTCTCTAAAATGAAGTTCAAACAAGCCTTAAATATAAATGTTTTCGTTCTACATTAATGTAATAAATAGACATTATAGTTAGCCCCGTTTGGTGACCTTTAATTGTAAAAAACTATGTTTTAAATAGTATTTTTTTAAAGAAAGTACGATTAAAATGTAGAAAAAAAAATTAAACTTATGTGTAAAATATTTTATTGTATGAAATTGTAGTTAAAATGAGTGAGAAATAAATTAAAGGCGGGGCATAATTTTATTTCCAATAGATTACGTCTATAATTCAAATTTCATCTGTTTTATTAACATTAATTCTCTTAGTTAAGTACAAAAATGGTGCACAATTTGCTAATTTTGTTTGGTTTCCATTATTCACAAAGCTGTACAAAGAAAGGGATTACTAATTATAATTAAATACACAATATATTTATTGTTAAAATTAAATTAAATTAGAATTTCTGCCCTTGTTTGATGGTCATTTTTTTTTTAAAAAAAGAAGAGTTTTAAATGGTGATTTTTTGGATAATATGTGGTTAAAACGTTGGAAATTTTTTTGAGTTTACGTGTAAAATATTTTATTGTATAAATGTCTGGTTAAAAATGAGTATGAAAATTAAAGAGTTTTATTTTAAAGGGAGATAAAATAGGAAATTAATTAAATTTAAATTTATAGTGAGCAATAGAATACGTTTCTAAAAATTTAGTGACCAAAGTTATATTATATCAAAGTTTAGTGGCCAAAACTTGATCACCTCAAAGTATAATGAACAATAGAAGACATTTTTTTACATTTTGTAACTAAAATTCGACTATCTCAAAGTTTAACAGTGTGACAGTGCACCACATGTGCATGTCGTCAACCACATTATAAATAGAATGCATTCTTTGAGCCTATATTTGAGCTTTGTCCTTTAAAGTCATTTTTTTCGTACTTATATTCTCCCTCTAAAATAATTTTATATATTAATTTTAAAATCTTCCTTAGATATTAACAGCACATTTTCTAAAAATCATTATTACAAAATCAAATCTCCCAATAAAATGAGTTTCAAACAAACCCTAAATATAAAAGATTTCAGTCTACATTAATGTAATAAATAGACATTATAATCAACCCGGTTTGGTGGCCTTTAACTGTAAATAACTATGTTTTGAATAGTATTTTTTAGTGAAATGTGATTAAAAAATTAAAAAAGGTTTTGTGTAAAATATTTTATTGTATGAATTTATAGTTAAAAATAAATCGAAAAATAAAAGTAAATTAAAGGCCTCCAAATAGGGCATAATTTTATTTTCAATAGATTACTTCTATAATTCAAATTTCATTTGTAACGTTAACATTAATGCTCTTAGTTAAGTACAAAAGTGGATGCACAATTTCTCAATTTTGTTTGGTCCCCATTATTTTCAAATATATTTTTCTCTCTTATTTTCAATTATACATTTTTTAATAAAATAATATTGATCCGTAACCTATAGCATCATTAGTAGAGCTAGCGATAGATTCTTTAGCGCTTGCATCTTCATTATGGATTAACTAGTACAGGCTTCAATAGTTGATCCAAGGTTTCTTTCTTCAATATTTTTCGATTAAGACATGTGGGTTGGTTCATTTCGTCCTTCCTTTGCAATTCTCTATCTTTGTTTTGATCATTTTGCGCAAAATGTAGTTGTATAGGATCGAGTATAAAAGGACAATTCTCCCTTTCCATTGAAGAGCAAGCAACCTTCCCCACTATTCTGGCCTATTACTGATAGGGATTTTATCCATGCTAAGGTAGCTTGCTTACCAAGCTACCCACTTGAGAAGCTAGTAGCTAGAAAGAAGTGACAAGAAGGTAAAACTGTTGCTAACCTCGAAAAATGGACCTTCCATGCAACCAACAAAAAGCAACTCTATGTGTATTTTCCTCCCTACACATGGCTGAAACTTGTCAAAAGTATATGGCCATTCGGAAAGAGTGTGATAGCAGCCACATACATTCCAACGATCAACTCAGTCGACTGTAAACAGCACCACGGGTTCCGATAACGACAACCCCCTAACCTTTTTAATTACAAATGGGAAGGAGTAAATATAAACTTGAATTGTGAAGTTATACTACCTTGCAAAGGTTTAACTCTTTGTATTTATAGAGAGAAAGTTGGAAGGAGTGTCGTTAGATGCAGAACACGTGGATTCATCTGTCGATTTGAGGCATCTACTCATAGGTGCTCATCAATCATTTCCTAGGTGGGGCGACATTTAATGTTTCTCACTTGGAGTTGACACATGTCATAGAGATGTTACATATATCATTCCAAAATATTTCTTGGATAGATCCTTGCCCAAAATATTTGTATCTTGGGTCGTAACGCAGGCTAGGACCTGTACATACCACCTTGTACCACTTCGGAACAATTATCGCTTCGGTTGTATTGGCTTGAACCTGCACGTACCGCGTCAGCACCACTTCGAAATAACCACCGCTTCAAAAAATATGCTTCGATGTTTCTTGACATTATGTGCTTCGACATGTTGAGTGTGGACGTGTTCCACTAAGGAGTGTAACAACTCTCTACAAAGCAAAGCTTCTCCTCTTTTAGTCATAATACTCAGCTCGTAAATTCAAAGTTTTTTTTTTCCAATTTTCAATTAAACTACTATTTTGAAATGCATTAGGGGAGGAAAAAAAATAAATTAGAAGCTCAAGTAGGTTCTTCACCCTTGCTTGGTATATATTAATTCTAAAATACAATATTCTCTCTTATTCTTAACCACATATTCTTTGATAAATTAATATTACATGTAAACTAATTTTTTTTTTCAACTACAAGTTTTCATCAAACCACTATTTTATAATATATTTTTGACAAAAATGATGTTCAAATAGGCTTTTATCCCCTGTTTGAGTCACATTCTTTCCACAAAAATATATTTCAAACAGTATTTTGACATCATTTTAACCACACATTTCACATCAATACATTATTCAAAAATTCTTTCCCCCCTAGAATGAGGCACAAACAAGGGCTTAATATGCATCAAAGTGTCTATCTTGAAGCATTGAAAAAATTCTAAGAGTTTGCTAGACTTCCCAAAATTTTAAATGGTAATTGAAATGTCAATCAATCACATTCAAGGGAAATATCAATCATTCATTTGAAATGACATGCAAAGTCATTCATTTCAATTTCCACTTTTATTTACATAAGTTTCATTAATGTCCTTTGAAATTTTCGATAATTACATCCTTATCCTCGTTTTTTAAAAGTTATCTAAACTTCTCCTGTTAGAATACATTTATCATTTAATTATTTTCTTCTATGCTAAATATGAAATGTATACTTTTAATAATAATTATATTAATGTAATTATTCTTCAAATTTAAAAAGGTTGATCCAAATTTTAACATGTGGAGAAAAATAAAGAAGAGATAACTTTGATTCATATTCTTGTAGTTCTTTATTATATTTTTTTTGTATTATTATAATAAATCTAAACTTTCTAATATTGATGAAATTTTAGGATTGTTACGGTAGGGTATCACTGATATGCAAGAACGGTTCAAAATTATTTTTGTAGAGTTTTAATTTATTAGTCTATTAACAAACTCTCCTATAAATTATTAAGAATAACGCTTGCCTGACATTTCTCCTATGTGGAATATGTGCATTGATGAAAAAAGTAGAGGTAAAATTATGGTGCAGATCATGTCACATGGGAGAGTGTGACTCGTAATGTAATCTACAATATACCTGCAGTAGCTTTGCCATTTATAGCGTTTTCGGAAAAAAATGTACTTTGAATAGTGATTTTAAAAAAAATAAGTAATTAAAAGATAAGAAAAATTTTAGGTTTGCGTCTAATATTATTTTATGGAAAAATATGGTTGAAAATGAATTTTGAAAAAATATATTTTAGAAATAATGGAATCCAAACATGGGCTAATTTTGTCATAAATTTATATAGATATGGGATAAAAGAGCAATATGCAATGAATCGTAGGGCACCTACAAAGAATAATATATGTGAATTCAACAAGAATCTAACGAAAATTGTCTAAAGTAAATAATTAGGAGAATACTAACAAGATAACAGAGGTTATAATTGTAGGGTTGTGTATCCATATATTATATATTGCTATAATAAAATAATAATTTATAACAAATAAATTATGGTTTTATTTATTTATTACATTTATTTATATTGACCCAGTGAATTAAAGTGCCCATAATCACTTTT